AAAGAGCAAGTGGGGGGAGGGGGACCCCAACAGCCTTCTGGCTTGGTGGGGGCATCATAACGCCTGAGCTCTTTGTTTTCCCAGTCAGACCCCAGCTGGCCAGGACACTCTGCTAAGGGGGCAGATTGTGTACTTCAGATGACTCTGGGCTGATCCTATAGCTAACACTGATCCTAGTTCAGGGGGGAACCAGACTCCACATCATGTGCTCGGGCTGGGATCCGACAGGAGTCTGGTTCTTGTTGGCAGCTCACTCTCCTTCACCCCATCACGGCTGTGCCGCCAACTGTCACACGCAGGGAGACAAGAAGCCTCGTGAAGGGTGCCAGCATTTTAACACCCCACTGCCCGCCCCCGCCCCCGACACCACAAAGTAATCAGCCTCCCAGAGCTGACCCTGAGGCCAAGCCTGAGTCTCAAGCTACCCACGGAAAGGGTGGAGTGGGTCCTTGCCCAGTGTCTCCTTGTCACTACTCACTGCGCCCCAGGTTGGTGGCCACATGCTGCAGAACCTCGATCTGCTTGATGGCCTCTCTCCGGGTGAAATGCACCACGAGCACCCAGTAGCCAGAGGAGAGGTCTTGCAGGCTGAGAAAAGAGGACGGCGGCTGCTGGGAGCTGCACGGGGCTGCCCTGGGAAGCTGCAGTCAGCTGGCCCGCAGCCTTCACGTCACTGCTCGAGGCAGGAAGTGATGGAGTCCCAGAGGGTCCCACAGGCAACCAGCATGCCTTCACACCATCGCTTCATCTGTGGCCAGCCCTCCACCCAGCATTTTTGTCTGCACAGAGACGATTTACTGGGATAACTGCAGACAGACTGCGGCCACTCAAGTGGGACAAATCTTTCTGCCAGGGGCAAAAAGAAAGGCAGAAAAGCTAGGGCTTTCTCTCTGCAGGCTACCCACGGCCCCGGCTATGCCCCATGAGCTCCCGTCTTCAGAAACTTCCTCCACCTCACCCGTACAGCAGGGCATGGTCCAGGTGCTCACACAGACGCTGCAGGACCTTGTCGTGATTCCGGATGGCAGGGGTCTCGTCCTCACACGCAGCAAAGTAGCTCTGCAACTGAAAGGAGAAAAGCTCCCCTACATCAGAAACGGATAAAGAGGAGGGCTACACAAGTTCTGGAATCAAGAAGGTAGCTGAGAAAACCATAGTGAAATGATGCATTTGTGATGACTAACAGAGACGTCTACCTCAAACTGCCCCGTCCCAAACTGATCCTGTACTGGAGGTTCCAGAGGGCAAAGGCTACACATCCTGACAACCTAGTCCACAAGAGGCCCTCAGTAAGCACTTTGCATGATGACAACTTGATGCACAGGTCTCAGGTGGTGTCAGGCTTTGGGCCAGAGCCACCATGCTGCATAGCTCCAGATGCACTAACATATGGTGCTATCCATATAAATGCCACACACATCCCGGGGTTGTGCAACACCCCGCTTGGAGCTGCCCTCTGCACACACTAAGAGCTGAGGGACTGGGACACCTGGTCTGATGGCCTTCCTGCCAGAGGCTGACACAGGGCACTGGATTTGCCTGAGGAAACTGACAAGGCTGGATATGCGTCTGGGTGCATGGCAGGCTCACCATGTTCAGCCCTACACCAAGAAGGACACTGTTCCCAGGCTGGCCCAATAAAAAGAGATTTAGACGGTAGGCGAGGTGAACTGCAGCACTGTGCAAACCCCACCAGGCTAACGAGGGCAAGGGCAGCTCTGCTGGCCTGGTTAAGGCTAAGAAAGTTCAGATACTTGGACTGAGTTCTCTGCAACCCCAGTTACGGAGGGAGGGCCCCTTTCAAGTAAAGCCCTAGAAGAAAAGTCTCTCTGAGTTCACATTAGCCATATCCTTGCCAGCTGTTGCCCTTGCAATGGCCAGAAGGGAGAAGGACACACGAAAGAGCACAGATCCCTGAATGCTCGTCTTAGGGTTAAGCTCTTGGGACAAATGTGTTCTCAAGTGTTTTCTGGAAGCGGTGGTAGAGACGGCTGCCGCAGGCAAGACACATCAACCACACCAATAAGCATGTGCTCTTGGAAAGAGGCCAACGATTCAGTCCTCACAACAAAAATAGCCTCTCTTCTCTGTGGCCTGGAGAAAGCCCAGCAGCCCTGCTTGCTGGGAACAGACCTCAGGCCTGCGTGGTCTTCCCTGCCCTCCTCCCAGAGGCAGGCAAATCACGGCACTAGAAGCAAAGGTTTCTGGAGCTGAAAGAAAGAGCAAGGAGACTACAAAACTGCCCAACTCCCTCTCAGCAATGGCTGGAAGCATTCTTGCACACTGTAGTCTGAAGTACTGCAACAC